GAACACATAGCATGTCTCCCGCTCACAACAAACCCAATGTATTATGTGCTTCATTATAGTGAACATTTCACTATAACATACTAATTGTATGTCTCCCAAAGAGTTCGTTATAATGAGGCTACAGTGTATTAGATTATAAAAAAAATATTGAGAGTTTTCGAAGCCAAATTAAATTGTAGTCGGATCATGCCAATAGTTAAAGTATACAATCCAATATGGGAATTCAATGTTAAGTAATAGGTATTCATTTTCCCAAAGCGACTCCAATCTCCTAAAGTGAATTTGAAACATATTAATGTTTATTCAAAGCATGCACTAGGTATATCAACCGCTTTGTCTGGTATTTCCTCGACTGTCTCCATGTTAACCTGCAGGCAGCATCAATAATTTAGAGCATTGAAACCACACAAGAATACCAAAGACTATGTTCAACATTTACTGCAGCAAGGTTTCACGCTTTCAATTTTATTTCGAAAGGCGATAAAAGTCATTGAATGTTTATACAAATTTTACAGTCGTTTCACTGAATGCTTTGGAGTAGTTGGAGATACCAAAACGGTACACTGATCCATTTTTACCCTAGAGAATCAAATAAATCTAAATTTTCTGTAGACATTGTAATTATAAATATATTTATATCTCATATCTCAAAAAGGACACTGCATACTATAATAATAACAGTATTGACATTTTTTTTTTTTTTTTAAATTGTTTTTGTGCCAGGCGACAGTTCCAGACTTTGAGTGTCACTGTTGTCTCTCCTGACTTTTTTTGTCCGTGCAAATTGCAAGTGCTGGTGCTATCATATTCATGTTTGGGACTACATGACAGGGCTGTGCTGTCAAATGTCAATTTTAATGCACTATCCTGGGGTCAACCAGGCCCGGTCGAACACAAGCAACTGCGGACCTTAACCAAGGTTCCCCCAAAGTCGCTTTTGTTAGTGAATGAATCTCGGCCAGTGGAATTGGTCTTCCCAGGCCAGTGACAGTATTGACATTATTCATTTTGAATGGAACATAGTCAATTGATGTTCTAAAAAAAAACAAAATAATGATTTGAAATAAAAGAGCAATGTTAAATATAAAGTTCAGATATATACCTGTAGATGAAATTATTTCAGTAAATACCACTTCCGTTAAATTGAGTATGTGTATATATAAGAACTTTATCTCATAGTCTAAAACAAGCAGCCTGTCGGTGAGATAGCTCCGCTGTTAGCAATGCACATTGCAATTGAAGAACAGAAGATATCATTAGAAAATGAACAATATGTATAGTATCAAAGCAAAAGTTTTCAACAAGAATTCAAAAATATCACTTTTCACCAAAAATAATCATCAAAATTAGATAATTGATATCACCACGAAATTAACAAATCTGAAAGAGGTCCACATGGTAGATCACAAATCTCCCAACGTGGAGTGGGCTTCCCCATCAGATATTACCGAGGCTAATGAACATCGGTCAACCGCTTTTGCGGGGAGATCGGAATTCCCAAATATTCCCCAAAATTAGAGAATTGAAGATATCATTATAAAATGAACAAATCTGAGAGAGGTCCACATGTAGTACCTATATATGTAATATCAAAGCAATTCGACTTGCGGTTTTTAACAAGAAGTCAAAAATATCACTTTTTACCAAAAATGACAAAAATATTCACCAAAATTACAGAATTGAAGATGTGATCATGAAATGAACAAATCTGAGAGAGATCCACATGTAGTACCTATATATGTAATATCAAAGCAATTGAACTTGCGGTTTTTAACAAGAAGTCGAAAATATCACTTTTTACCAAAAATGACAAAAATATTCACCAAAATTAGAGAATTGAAGATATCATTACAAAATGAACGCATCTGAGAGAGGTCTACCCAAGGTACATATACACCAAGTATCAAAGCATTCAGGCTTGTAGTTTTCAAGAAGAAATCGAAAAAGTAAAACATTGACACGGACAACGACGACGGACAATCACTCATATGATAAGCACAGCTCACCAAAGTCAACAGCGGAGCTAAAAATTGAACTGTGGATTTGAGGTTTGTATTCATAAAAGCACTGAAATTTCAATCCAACCTTTTTTCTTATAATTAAAGTCCATGTGTTTTATCGAGGATCTGTTCCAGCATAGGTAATTCATTGACAGACTCAAGTTAAATAACATAGTATTAAACTTCAATGCAGAATCTTGAGTTTAATAGTCAGTTGAAATACTGCTATTCTGCCCATTACCTCCTCAATAAATGATTTCACTGGCACAGGTAAATCCTTCCTGGATGATTAAAGTACCGGTACATATTGTGCTTAGTACATCACTCTGAGATGGCAAACTAATGCTATAATGGTATGATTAATGAGACCAAATGGTGGGGTTAGAGGGGGGTGGGGGGTTCAATGGATCAGTTAAGACACTGTACATGTAAGGAATACACACTAACCTAGCGTATAGAAGTGTCTAAAGTAAACAATTTAAAATAGTTGAGGATCTTAGAATAATGTAAATATATTGTTCCGATGTTGACCCAACCTACAATCGTAGAAGTCTACTGCGACTGGCAAAACAACCTCAATTATTCAGAGAACCTCAAATAACATAATTCTGTATGCACTTTTCTGATCATGCACCTTGATACCTCTCTAGAACCCCCCCCCCCCCCCATCTCTCTAAAACTATTTTTAGATGGAATTAATTTTCGCTGTAAGAATAGTTTGGCTGTTTTGTATGAAGTTTATTTTTTACTGATTTTTGATAAGCTGAATGTAAAATATAGGAAAAAAAAAATTTTCACTGCATTTTATTTTCATTAATTCATCCTTTTGGCAAAACAGCTAAAATAAAGTACTCTACAGTACTCCCTATGAGGAGTGGGAATTTCCACTAACACTTCCTGCTAATTGTGCAATTTCAAACTAGACATTTGAAGGAGAATGAATGTTTGTGAGTGATTTACTAGTCGAAATGTTGTCCAGGGTAACTAAAAATAACTCGCTACAGAAAAAAAAAAAATCTTTGAAATCACACCATACATGTACATTGTAACTCGTCTCAGTGCTTTTATGACAGCTATTTTGCACTTTGCAGCAATTTTCAAAAGGTGAGCCCATTGAGACTTATCTCACAAGTGAACAAACAAGACTTTTAATTTAATTTTTTAATTTTATATCCAGACAAAATTGAATTATAAATGTTGAGATGAAATAGTTAAGGTACAAAATGACAAATTTATGGTGCATGTTTTCCTGACTATTAAAAACATTTTTTGGAGACCATCGGAAAGCCTTTCTGCGTACATGTCTGTAAGATATCAAACTGAATTCATGAATAAATTATTTAAGTTTCCTATTTTGTTGAAATATAAACCAATAATTGTG